CCTCCTCCTCCTCCTCCTCCTCCTCCTCCTCCTCCTCCTCCTCCTCCGGAAAGGACTGATCTAGAAAGTAATAATATAGAATACCAGAGTTGGAAGAGACCTTGGAGGTCTTCTAGTCCAACTCCCTGCTCAAACAGGAGTCCCTATATCATTCTGGACAAATGGCTGTCCAAGGTCTTCTTGAAAACCTCCAGTGATGGAGCACACGCAACGTCTGAAGAAAGAAATTTCTCTTTGTTCTAGGTTGGATCTGTCTTTGATAATCTTCCATCCGTTGCTTTCTTTTCCTGTCCTCAGGGGCTTTGCAGAACAGGTAGGTCCCTTCTTGTTCTGACAGCCCTTCAAAATATTGGAAGAAATCATCATGTCTTCCCTTGTCCTTCTCTTTGTTGACCTAGAGGCACCAAGCTCCCTCAATTGCTCACCTTCTGGTTTTAAAATAAATAAATAAATAACATAATAACAGAGTTGGAAGGGGACCTTGGAGGTCTTCTAGTCCAACCCCCCCTGCTCAAGCAGGAGACCCTAAAAGCCATTTCAGACGAAAGGTTGTTCCGGTCTCTTTTTGAAAGCCTCCAGTGAACGGAGCACTTACTTACAACCTCTGGAGGCAAGTTGGTTAATCGTTCTCACGGTCAAGAAATTTCTCCTTAGTTCTAGGTTGCTTCTCTCCTTGATTATTTTCCATTCCATAATTTCTTGCCCTCTGGAAAGGAAGCCAAGTAGAGGGAAATGAGAAAAGACAGGTTTTAATCCAATAAATGAGCAGGGGGGAAAAAAGGTTTAGAAGAGCTGGAATACAAGCTTCTTCTTTTAAGAGCTTGGATTCGCAGCCTTCACTGACATGTTTATCTTTCGCATATCCCCTAAAAAACATTATCTCCAGTTATATTTTCTAACCTGGGCATTTTGCCCGAAGAAGGGACCCATCAGAGTCGCAGAAAGCTTCGTGTTTTTAAAAATTACAGGAGGAGTATGCTGCAATTCTTTCAGGCAATTGCTGCATTCAACCTGCAACATCCATCTTCCAATTAAGTCCAAAGACGGCAAAACTTTGGAATTTTCTACTTGTGCCCATCACCGGCCCATCAGCCTGCCGAAAATGGGAGGACGCTTTTTTTAAAAAAAATATCTCAGTTGGTTTTCGCAGGGCTTTTTCCGCGCAGTTTGATTTTTCTAATGTCAATTACAGCCAGTTTATTTCTACGCAGCTGAGGTTGCGAGAACATAAAAGTTCCATGTGGAGAAAACGTAAAGATGGTGGAATCGCACACAACACTGTGCAACTTGTACTTTGCTTTTGCTTAAGTTGCGGTGTCAGTTTTGTTGAGTCATTGCAGGCGGGTCAGCCATTACAGTTTCCAAAGCATGGTGTACAAAGCTTTTGCGGACGAACCGGGCCATTCTGACTCGTGCAACACAACCCGGTTAAAACAAACCACACCTTGGAGTGATGTATGAACCAGACATAAATGCATCAGCTTCTATGGATGATCTTTAGAGTCTTTGATGTAAAGTTACCTTAAATTTCTCCATCTTGGAGCGTTAACATGGTCCTCTTAAGTCACCATTTCTTTGGCTGTGGTTTATTGAATAAACCACAGTTGCACAACGCATGAGTCATGCCCCACATGAATTGAATACACACAACACTGCAGGGGAGAAAAAGAAACCATATTTGTGATAGCACCGCTCTATATTGCAGTAGTGAGGAATAACTTGGAATAACTTCATCCAATTCTGGTCGCCATGATACAAAAAAGAGGCCCAGGAGATGAGGTAATTTAAATATATAGAGAGAGAGATTGTGCAGAAATGGATAGATAGATTGACATTAAAAGTAAAAGAAAAATCTTTTAAATCATGAGTCTTGAGCCAAATTTCCAGAACTTCAAAAGGATTTATTAGGAGTAAACATGCCGGCGCTGCCTGGGTGTAGCCAACTCTGAGGCACATCATTCACTGTCACCCTTGACCCTGGTTTTCCCACCATCCCCTGGGTGTATCATAATTCATATAATTCAGTGGGACACATCCATATCCCAGAGTCATCAATCATGTTCCCCAGTTAGAATTTTGTGTGGCAGAAACTTCGGTCACCTAGAAACTATCTTTGAAAAACATTGATGGAATGCACTTTCAGTTTTGCAAACTGCTGCACTGCTCCCCAGTCCCTTTCTGTGGGCAACTCTAACAAGATCATAGAAATATTTTATGAATTGACATAAAGAAGTTACAAAGTATTTTCGAACATGAGGCTTGTTTTATAAATGGTTGGACAGTAGAGGTAGAAATCAGGAGTGGGAAAACTGTCAAAAGAGAAGGGAGCCTCTGTGGCACAGTGGTTAGAGTGCAGTACTGCAAGTTACTTCTGCTGCAGCCAGCTGCCTACAAGTTGGCAGTTCAAATCCCACCAGTTGATTCAACCTTCCATCCTTCCAAGGTGGGTAAAATGAGGAGCCAGATTGTTGGGGGCAAGAGGCTGTTTACAATGATTTATAAAGTGTGCATTACTATTACTGTTAATCTTCCCATCACCTCTTATCACTCATCCCCTCCCACTTGTGACTGTAGGACTGTAACTTTGTCGCTTGTATCCTTCCGATTTATATGGACTGTTTCCTAGTAGGATTTGATTGTTGATTGTACCCTAGGACTATCGTTAAGTGTTGTACCTGATGATTCTTGACTCTTGACTATCTTTTCTTTTACACTGAAAGTATTTACACCAAGACAAATTCCTTGTGTGTCCAATCACACTTGGCCAATAAAGAATTCTATTCTATTCTATTCTATTCTATTCTATTCTATTCTATTCTATTCTATTCTATTCTA